CCTGCGCCAGCTGTCAGGCTCACTCGATGAGTTTGGCCTTGGTGAAAGGGAGGTATTTTTCAACTTTTTGTGAGGCAGAGGGTGGCTTGATGAATATTGTTGAACTTGTTGAGGTCATAGGACGAGGCCTGCGATGCGACCTCATGTGATGCACCGCAGAGAGTGGTCGAAATTAGGGTATAATCAATCTCTATGGGTGAGGAGAGCCAGAAAGTGTATCAGCACAGCCCATAGCTATAGCTAGAAGTCGTCCGCGGGCACCTGTAGCGAAACACGATTGAATCTTGAGTTCCATGGCTATCGATCTAAACACGTATTCAACGATGATACGAGCAATTTGTATGGAAAGAAGTTACATATCACAGCATTCAAACAGTTATAGAAACTTGCAGAGAGAACGTTCGACCACTTGCTAGTCATGGTCAAGAGAAAGAAGATTAGAAAGACCCGAATTTGGACGATGGCGCGTGTCAGAACATTCCGAATTTGGTGATTCCGCCCCGCCGGCCGGTGTCAGCCACCAAACTATTTCATCCACTACTACAGGCAAAGTTGTCGATTCCACCACCCATGTTGACAATCCTGGCAGGACTGCGTCCTGCACAACTCGATTCTGGAATTGATTGCGATGTTTGAGCAGTTAGACGAGCTCAAGACGAGGTTGGCATCCCTCGTGAGTCTTCGACACCTTTTCTTCTGCATGAGTCTGTCTGGCCTTTTTTTTATTTAATGAGACTTGATATTCCCAGTGTTGCATCAGCGATCTCCAGGTTAGTGGTAACGTGCTCAGCCTCCCCGCCACGCCGAGTCGACGCCGCCTCATCAATATTTTCGTTCGCAACGACCGGTGGTCCCACCAGAGCGTGTCTCGCGTTAGGCTTCTCTTCTAACCTTATGATTCTGTTTCTGTTAACAAGTGATGCACGCGATTTCATTTGATTGGTTTGTCTATTGCGAGCGGTCACCGTCATCGTCAGAATCTCCACATCTAACTTGTGATCGTCAATGATTTAAAGCCTAAAAAATGTAGTCTCGTACCAGCCGTTCCATATCAGGCAATAGCTCGGATGACTCGCCAGTTAAAGGGCATCATCAGGAGGAACAAGATCAAACGAATCTAGGGAAGGGGAACGAGACTAAAAAAATCTATCCTGACAGGCTGAAGATTATTAGTAGAAACTAGATCTAAAAGATTCTCTGCAGGTCTAGCCTATATTCATCGGGGACTTCGGGGCGAAATCTTCCAGGACGTCCTCGTGATGATCGAATAATCTTTCACCGACGAACAACGATTCGGAGCAACACTCCTTATATAGGCACAGAAATTTCAAGAGGCTATAGTAGGCACACCACACGGATTTATAATTCCTTCTCGCCGGCATATACCAATGTCATATTTGGTCCAAATTTCAATTTTCGTCAGGCTACTAATACAATTTCAGCCCCGGAGTGCCCCCCACCATGAACCACAACGACAACTTTCCTGAATCTCGTGCATCGCGTTGGGGTTACAATGGGCTGATTAAATGCGTCACATATGTTTCGTTTTTACAGACCTGACTATTACACATGCGTCAGCCAAATAAGGTTTGAGCCTTCCTTGCTGTGTCATGCCCGCCCTTGGATTCGCGGTGTCCACCTTTGTAAACATCTTCCGTTTTTGTCCCCATATACATATACCTGATCTGTCCACACGCGCTACCTTTCACCTCAGCTCCCAGCTCCAGTAAAGTTAGTTTTAGCCGATGCACGGGGAAGGCAACCGACACGGAATAGGGATGTTGCATCTGGGTTTTGCAGTGTGTTATGGACGGGTAATTGTACTCACCTCGGATCTCCTGGGTGCGTTGATGTTCATGTTAGTGTAAGGGTATACAGAAAAAGCCGTGTCACTCGGGCCGTGCATGCTGAGCGGTGCCGTGCCGTGCGGGTGGCACGGCTTCGATTCCGTGCATTACCGCGCTGGGCATATGAAAGTACGAATGGATCTGGCAAGGGAGGGGGTGTTGCCCTATGTAGAATGGCTGCAGAATCAGGTATGTAACCATTCGTAGGCAAGTGGCTTATCTTGGGTGAGATCTATTGGCCGCCGATCTGAATATTCGGAACTCATGTTACAGACACGGCCGGCCTATATGTTCTCGATGCCAGAAAACATCCTGTCTTGCAAGTCGCTCCGAAATAGCTCGCCCAAAAATTGATGCAGGTAATCGGATTATCCGTTTCTGGATACTCTGACGGCTCGTTCCCCGCATGTAACTGATTGTCTTCTTCGTTTTGTTCGCTGAATATTCTGTGTGGCTTGGCAGAAAACAAGAAAAGGATGCCTAAACAGAATCGCAGCAACGGTAGATTTCCGTTATGCGGTATATATCATTGTGTTGCTCATCAACTAGGAGTTACATTTGGGTACTTAGGTTCGGGTTGAATCTTTTGGTGGGTACATGACGAACTGGGGGGTGGGCTGAACTTGTTCATACTGTATGTCAGGGGAAAAACTTGGGAGGCAAGAAGCAAAAGTGGTGATATATATATATCTTCCATAACTGTGAGTCGGTTCAACTTGAGGGCCTCGTATTATGGTAATATATTAGACAGATGCGAGAGGGACGAGTGTGGCGTAGCGCAGAAGACAAATTTCAAAAGGATTCATAGAGTCAGGACGACCCAAATCGTCACTGAACAGAGATGTATGCATATGAGTCGACCCAGGTTCGAACTGAGGACCTTCTGTGCGATAAGCAGCCGTTTATACGACGGATGTTAGACAGATGCGATAACCAGCTACGCCATCGACCCATGTGATTACATTGTCCTACGTAGCTTGGTGGCTCTGACAGGGCGCGTGGCGTTGAATACCGCAGGGGTGGTCGGGGCAGGCAGGGCAGCGAGCGGTTGTCGCGGATGGTGCAAGATACAGCGAGGGGACGGATCCCGTGTTTCGGGGATTCGTTTTGAAGCCACCGATTGAACGGCTAATGATCAATTTTCCAAGGTAACTTTACACAGAACTACAAATATGGGTCGTATACCTCCCAAACCTTCAGCCAGGCCGCCAGAATCAAGTCGAGACATTTTCTAAGTCAGCCAGTGCTGGCATCCAAGCTGGCGGATCGTATGGCCCTGTCTCCGCCAATGCCAAGGGCAGCCTATCCATAAACATGAACATTTCCATTGCCTTCGAGGCAACGACCAGGTCGCAGAAAGAATCGATCAAAGCCTACGTCTATCAGCAAAACCGCGCCTATCGCTACTCTGTTCATGTGAAACCTCGGAATCATTTACTGTCTATCACGCAGACACTGGACATTAAGGGAGACACGGAGCCTTGTGAGAGTTACAAAGGGCTCACACGGTCTAAACTCTCTTGCCTTGTCATTTCTAATTTGTAGTTTTTTCACTCTTTCTTGTTATATTTCCTGTACTACTAAGGTATCTGTATCCTTCCATCAATGACTGTCTATATATTTTTGTATG